CACTATTGTATAAAACAAACATATTTATTTAATTAGACATAATATAATTATTAAAAGAAAATTATTGAAAAAAAATGCAGAAGCTTATGAATAGAATGAAACTCGAATGAAAGTTCATGATTTGAATGGAACAAATCGATTAGCAAGAGCAATATGTATAGAAAATCATATAAGTTAGGCTTCACAACATATAAGTTTTTTTTTTTTTTTTTTTTGGTGCTCCTAGTAATTCTACTGCTCCTTCCGTCCCTTGACTATCTATCTATTTTTTCATTTTAGTCCGTCCTATAACAAGTATTTATTTCTTTTTTTTTTTTTTTTTAGTAATTGTACCATCTACATAACATTACAAATACCCTTCTAATTTACAATATATTACACAAATGTCATTACCTTTATATCATACAATACTAATTTACTCTTTTTACCTTTATTTTTACTTTATCCCAATATAATACTAATATTTCTAAAACTTCGTGAAAAAACAAATGGATACATAGATATGGAACGTAGAGAGCATTTGTTTGCTTGAAGGTTTTGGATTGAGGTTGGTATTTTGGAATGGTTAAATTGAATCAAAATTTAATTTAATATAAATAACAATAATTATTAACTTAAAATAAAGAAAGAAAAAGAAAAAATGATGGAAGATTCAATCTAGCTGTACAAACTAACAAGACTCGATGCTTTGGCAGCATGAACATTCTATTTGCAAGTTTGCCTCGATTACACTCGTTTGAGTTAAATAAGTTGAATACGAGTAGCTGTTATGTTTACGAATAAGCTCGTGTTCCTAAGCAAATGTTTGATTATATTTATTGAAAAATCAAATTAATATTTTCACATTTACTATATATATATATATATATATTTTTATAGTATTATATTTAATATAATTTAAATTTAATAAAAATTACTTAAAATAGAAGTTAAAAGAAAAAATCAATTTGTATTTCTTAATGAACAATTATGAATCAAACTCGAACCTTTAACAAGTCAAGTTTAAACATAAAAAAACTTGGCTCGTTAGCAGCTTTAGGTACAAAGATCGATTCATTTCCTCGACTAAATGCAAGATCTATTTATTTGTTGTAGATATATGTACAAAATATGGTTAAATATATATATATATATATATTTATATTATTTCAAGAGAAATTCATTCCATTTACAGGGATTGATGCTATCCTAAGTTTGAGGCAGATAATATATATATACTTATTATTGGGATTGGACAAATGAAGACAATCCTCTCAATTTTGGGAAAGAATTTAATGATGCAACCACATTCAAATGACTTATGCTTCTTTTAAATAAATGACATAGATAATAGAAACCTCATTGAAAAAAAAATTAAAAGAATAAATCAAATGTAAGTTCAGTAAGACCTGGGCAAAAAATGGGGGAAGGGGCTCCACCCCACATCCTTCCCCCCCCCCCCACCCCAAATTATTTAAGTAATATACTGTGTTACTCCACTTCATTTCCGGAGTAGAGTTTTTTATGATATTTTGTGATATTTTTTATATTTTTGTTATTTTTTTGGATGTTTTATGTGCCAATAAATAATTTTTATATTCGAAACCTATTGGAAGGGGCAGTGCAAGAGAAATGATTGAATCTTCAGACATTATTATTATTTTTTTTTAAATATGATATATAATTTTATTTTTTTATGTATGTGTTTTTTTATACTATTAGACATGGAGAATTATTTTGATAGTTTAAAAAATAATATTTTATATTGAATTATTATCTTTTTGTCAATAAACAATATTTCATATTGAATGATTAAATAACTATTGATTTCTCATAAATTATGATTAAAAATACTTTCAATTTTATTATATTAAAACAATATTTGCTAAAAATTGCTTCTATAAAAATTTCTTCAAACATACAATCAAATTGGCCAAAAGCATTTCGATTTATGTTTGGACGAATCTAAAGCAACTTTTTATAAAAAAAAAATAAAAATATATGGATATAATAAAATTAAGAAACAATTAAAATTACCAAATAAAATTTACCAATGTAAATTTATTTATTTTTATTAAACTTTTCTAATAATTTATTTTAAAATTTTATAAATTATATTTTTAACTTTCAATTTAATTATAATATATATTTATAAAAATAAAATATAATTAGTTTAAATAAATTTTACTCTACAATTTATTTTGAAACTTTATAAATTAAATTTAAAATTATTAAACTATCTACTATATCATTAAATTTTATATTTTTTTAAATTCTAATTTAATTATAATATATAAATTAAATATTAAAATACAACTATATTTTAATTTTAATTTTAATTTAAAAACCATACAAACATAAATATATTATATATGTATATATATATATTAAGTAGAAGCAAACAAATACTTTCCAAAAGCCCATCCAAACCGAACATAAGTCATCAAATTACATTCAATTCGGTGTGTTTGTCTATTCATCCAATTTTTTCTCCCAAAAATATCAAATCAAACACTTATTTTTTATTTTTTATATTATAGTAAAAATCAATTTTACATTCAAAACATCACATCAAACACCTATTTATATCACATCATACAACTATTCAAATTCAAAATTTTTATTATTCAAATCCCAAACCCCCAAACAAATATATTTGTTAGATACATAAACTTTTTCAATTGATTCATCAATTTTCTTCAACCCTCATGCACAATAAGATTCATAATACGACAATAACACATAAAAAAAAAAAAATCAGCATGACAAATAAGTTTGCACTTAACAAGTCTAGAGCCCAAAAATTTCAGCAAACTCATCATTTGTCTATGCATTATCTAATGTAAGTAAACACATTTTTGTCAATTCTCCAAATAGTTAACAAACCACAAATTTATCACACAAAACAATATCAGAAAGAGGTGGTGGCATATAAGAAAATATATTATTTCCTTTTGTAGCATCCAATCATCGTAAATATAGTGGATTGTTAAACAAAGATAACCATCCGTGAAATTGTTCACCAAATCTAGTTGTTTGTCTTATGCAACTTAATGATATTAGCTCTAATAATATTCCTAGTAATTTAATTGACTTGTGGCTCCAAATATGTAAAGAGATCGAAAGCTTCATATCCTAAACAAGCAGACGAAAAAACAATTCCAGGAGAAAGAAAAAAAAAAAGAGAACTAACCGGTGTTGCGTTCAACAAGCAGGCCTCCTTAAAACAGCTTGCTCTTCGTCATAGGGACCATCATTTTGATTTGGGTTCCCGCTTGCTTTACCTGTACATAATGCCGACCTCTAGTGGAATCATCGAGCCTAGAGGGGCTGGTTGAAGGGCTTGACCCTACAGACATGAAACTACCACAAAATTCAAGGTTAGCATTAGCACTACATGAATGTGCATCAAAAACGCTGTTAAAGCATTCGCCCTGTGCAATGAAGAGGTGACAGGGGGCACCCTCTTCCTCATCTCCGCTGACCCTGCATTAAAAGACATTATCATAGCATAAATTTTGCTTATAATCAGCTATCAAATGTTCTGTACCATAAGTGATTCAAACAGAGCACTACAGATGAACAAAATCTCAGTCATAAATAGTAAGCTGAATATCAATCATTAGCACTTTCTACGAATCCAGATTGGAAACAGGCTAAGGAAATCTAGTATAATGATCTCAACATTTGCAGGGTGCTTCAATCAGGATATTGCAACAAATGAGCAAATAAGTTTCAACACCAAGCAAATGAACATGGATTGTAACTAAATAAATAAAATTCTGTAGGAAAGTGATGGGAACTCTTTAACTGGTAGGTGAACAATGTATAGATGGGGGAGACGAAGGGTTCAATATGGGAGCATCACTGTACCCAGTCCACATTCATATTGAGAATGAGCACCAAATCTCTTACTACCAAAACAGAGATCGCACGACTACTAGTAGTTGCAATGTTTTCCTCCATTAAATGACAGATTCAACTCCAACAAACGGCGCAAGGCCTTGAATACAGCTCCACACATCAGCCTTCAGAGCTGACAATCATATTTGATACAATATTTTGATAGGTTCTTTTTGCAGTTGCAACACACACTAATCACCATTGATCATATACAAGCAAAGAAAACATGAAAGCTGTCCCAAGAATAACACAATGGTAAAACAGATGCCCAATGTGCAAAAAGTAAGAGAAATTTGGACAATATACACCTGAGGCTGTATAAGTAACTATATACAAGAGGAAATATAATAACACAACAGAAGATCTATAGGTTATTATGAATTCCTGAATGAATTCCCAAAGCCTTGGATTAGAGCTTAACCTTTCCCAGAATCATCATCAAGATTCGATTCCAAGATCGATCCCTTCAATCAATAGCTACAAAGATCTGGAGCTCAGACCACCAAAAGTGTCGTAGCTTCTAAACAGAAGATCACATGTAGCACTTTCTATTATTCATATCTTTCAAGCTATTCCATTGCCAAGCAATATCTAAATTTTCTCATGTTGGCTTTACCAAGTCACAACTGGCTTTCGACATATTGAAGAAGATCGAACGGTTTGTTTAAAATTGATATGAAAACAGAAAGAAAAAAAGAACAATGACTTAAAAAAAGGATGAGAAAACGGATATTATATTATACTACAATATTAATAAATTATAGTCTAGTATTATATGCAAAACCTAAACCTAATGGGCAAAATAAACTAAATTGGTGTAAGAAGATTGACTATTCGAACAGCAAGGACTATCTCTGCTTTGACGTGCACCGCCCTGCACGCCCCCACCACAACAAGACACTACTGCACTTGCTTTGACGTGCACCGCCCTGCACGCCCCCATCACAACAAGACGTTACTGCATCAAGTGCATAAATTCACCGTGAGGTAGTGGCAGCGGCAGCAGACAGCTGCTTCACTCCACAATGGAGCTACAGTGAACTATTGACAACTATGTTAAAAACATCCCTCCTATCGCCAATTTTCAGATCAAATGTACAATTTTCAAAACAAACAAAAGACACTTTTCTTGAACTGAGCTTAGTAAACTATTTTGTGGGGTTCAAGACATACTTTATTTCAATTCATATTCAATACAAACCAACAACATATTTTCAAGAATATCACTATTAATGGAAACCATAAGAAAGAATGAGTAGCGAAGTGGTGCATGCAAGCTCCTACTTGTCACAAAAAGCTACTTTCTTTCAACCTAACTGAAAATATGAAAATTATTTGCATAGTGCTGCACTACTTTTTGTACAGCTTGGCATTATATGGATGCAAATAAATATAGTAGAGGAACTGGAGAAAGAAAGACTGAAGAATCATCACGCTCGTTTTGTCCGCTTTCCAACTTTAAGTGCAAGCTCGGTGTCGATTTTCAAAGAAATATCCAGTGCCTTAACTGAATGCGTCAGCGCTCCACTGCAAACCAAAATGTCACCAATAATGATTCTAAGAAACCCACTCTTTCTCAGATAGGTCAACCAGAGAAGCAAGCAAACAAATTCCATGGAATTAGGAATTTAATGCACAGAGACAGTATAGAGAATGAGCATCAAAGTATTCTGTACCTAGAAATGTAGGTCACCCCAGAAGATCCGATCTTGTTTACGGTGTCAAGAGTGACATTGCCAGATGCCTGCCATTAGAAGAACCACAAGTCAAATGAAATAGATGCAGAGCAGTCAAACTTGAGAGACATATTTAGGATTGATAAATGCTTTAAAATAGTGTGGATAATAACTGGTGTTATGCATTTGCATAGACAAGAAAGAAAAATAAAAAGATAAAAACCAATAAAATTATACCTCAGTCTCAAATCTCCCATTAATTAATTCAACAGCTTCTTTAAGCATGGATATATCAACATCTCCATTAGACAAGGGGATAACCATATTGTCCAACATTATCCGCGTCAATGAAGTCTTTGTTGTGGATGCAAAATGAAGTAATTCTTTAACTTCCTCCAGAGTCCTGGTTTCAACCTGTCAGGCAAAGGGGATCAGTTTGATCACAAATGTCATACAAACCATTTTATTAAGCGCATATGAAGTTACTAATATGAGAACAAAGTGCTAGGTATACTTGTTCATGCAATGACAGGTACTGAGAAATGCATGAGTAGTTGGCTGGGTGTCTCCTTGATCCAATGAGATACTCAATTTTCACAAACAAATAAATCATTACTATAGCATTTCATCATTCTGGCACTCCATAACCCACACGCAAAACACAATCAAGATTTGGAAGAAAGCACTGACCTTATACTAAACTAGTTTGGCCACCTCCTCAAGCCTATGAACTACTTGAAAGTACTAAGGCCAACAACTAGGTGTAGTGTCACCCAGTCATAAGGAGGAGAAGTTCTTTTCACATATCATTGGTAGAAATCACCACCCGCATAGACAGTAACAACTCTTTTATACAAAATACATTAAACAATATTGAACAGTTGAATGTAATTCCATGTATATTAATCACACTAAGGTGCCTATATATATACCATTGGAGTCCCAATTATACTAGGATAAAAACACAAATACCTGAAAAAATCCTTTTCTAATTAGTCTATCTATATTAATGCTTATTTCTGTAGTTAGCAATTCCTTCTAATTATGCATATGTATTGATCATGCCCACTTGTTACAATTATAGCTCATGGAATTCAAACCATTAGTGAGTATATCTCCAAGTTAATCTTCAAACATGATATATTAGGTAGAAACAAACCCTTCTTAAAGTTTGTCATGAATGGAATGACAATCGATATCAATATCTTTTGTTTGTTTATGGAATACAATATTAGATGCAATGTGTAGAGCAAACTGAATATCACATTTTTGCTAGAAGGTCAAGTATGAGACCAACTTTTTCATCAATTATTGCACCAATACTATCTCACATATCGAATTTGCCATAACTCTAATCTTTGCTTCAGCAACAAATCTAGAGGCTACATTTTGTTTCTTACATTGAAAAGACACAAGATTGGCACCAACAATAAAAACACAGGGGAGTGTTTTGATAAGTTTTGGATTTGGTTTGGAGTTTTGGGAATAGTAAAATTTGAATTCAAATAGTATTTGATGTGATGTTTTGAATGAAAAATTAATTTTGGGTATAATATATTAAATGAAAAGTAGGTATTTGATTATATGATTTTGGGGGGAAAAAGTTTGGGTATAGTACCAAACCAAATCCAAACACACCCACAATGTCCAAAAAATACATTTGATCATCTATACACTGAACATAATATGATCAATGAAGGATGAGATAATATGTATGTCAGGATAGGATATTGTATTTTCGTAAGAGACAATCTTGTGTCTTAGCAAAATAAGAAATAAAATTACCTCCTACAAAGCACGGGTTTGTCATCCAACCAAAAGTTTTCGACACACTTCCTGATTAACATTATTAAAAATACAATTTATACATATATTTACAAAAAGTATATAATATATAAACTCTATCCACTAAAAAAACCAACAATTCAATACAAATCTTAGTTTTTATAATACCAACACGCTTTCCGATACCTAACCTAAAAAAAACAACTCAACTCAAAACACAAAACAAGCACACCCTATGGTTGTGTTTGAGACAAGGTTTGAGAAGTTTATCGTTACAGTATACATCAAGTTCAAAGATAAATTTTGGGATATATTCCATTAGGCATTGAATGAAGCACACATCAACCATATTTGTAACATAACAAGACATTATCAATACATATCTTCTAACTTGAGAGGGGTATTGAATTATTGATTATATAAATAGGCATCATTGTAGATAGAAGAACTAAAGCAGGATTTTCAATTTGCTTCCTAGTATAAATAGACCTGTAATTGTAAATTATATGTATCCGAATCCTGGTGAATAAAACAGTGAATTACATTCCACAAAACATTTTGAATTGAAAAAATGTGTCAAAATGAATGTTCTAATATAAAAACCCATTATGTTTTGGTGAAGAACACTTTAAATACCTACGAGAATTTTCAAGTGGTACCTCAACGCCCATTCGAAGATTATTTTGTTCAAAGTACTGCTCCACTGATTTCAACGCATTTGTGACACCTCCAGCTATAGATATATGGTTATCTTTTATCATTACCATATCAAATAAACCCATTCTGTGATTCTGCCCACCACCTATTAAGACCTATAAAATAATTAGGCAAAAATATAAGCATAAACAAAAATGATAGAACAATGATAATATATTGAAGCAAGAGTGACGTGATCTACACCGCCCATTTGTCCACCAATCGTAAACCTGGAGCAGTTTTCCTGGTCTCTAAAATTTTTGCAGGATGTGCAGCATCTGCCATGGCCTGAAAGAAATTTGAATATCATAAATTTCAAACACACGAAATAAACACCGTATGACAAAAGGTTAGCTTAGATTCTGCATTAGAATAATACAGAATAGACTGGAAACCAGAGTCCAGACACAAAGAAGAAACTAGCACCAATATAAAATCACCTTAGTTAGAGTTGCTATTCCACTCATTCTCTGCATAAAGTTAAGAACCACCCTCTCAGCCACAACTATACTGTGGGCTCTTCCTGCATCATTTCATTAAGCGGCTCTACAACATTGTCAAACAGGTGTTTGCACAACAGTATGATCTGGCAAGAGTTGCATCTCACTTACCATGTACTTTGCCAAACTGCTGGCCTTTTTGAACACTATCACCATCTTTTATCGACCAATCGATCTGCGAATGTAAAAACTACCATAAATTTCCCTTGATTTCTTCATTAACTGTAAGATAAACGATTACAAGAGTAGATTTGACTATAAACCACAAAGATTCAAGTGCCCAATTACCTTTAGTGATGAATCAACCTCATTAAATATCATTTCAGCTAGTGCAATACCAGCTACAATCCCATCCTCTTTTGCCAAAAAATGGGCTTCCACTTCCATTTCATCGGGAATGGTTGCTTTACAAGTCACATCCCCTATGTTTCAGACAAATACTTTGTGATTCATCATAAATGAAACTTGGATAGATCACTCTTTTACACTAAGTGCTATGTATATTTTAAAATTCTAACCTTACCAATACAAAAGGCAAAATAAAAAGTTACAGAAAACACACGAATGCCCATTCGTTAGATATATAGGCCACAAAATCGGAAGCAAAACCTGAAATTCAAATCATAACTGACCTCCCACAATTTTCAATTTCAACCTAAAACTCAAATAAAATTGATGTTCCGTAATCTTCAATTTCATCTTCATAAAGAAGCTATGTTCAAATTTATAGCAATTGAGCATTGACAATAAAGTCAACAACACATATACACTATTTCAATGAAGGATTTTAAAGACAAAAGGCTACGACATTGCTCTGCGGATTTTATTAGTGATCAACAAATAAACCTGGATCACCAGCATAAACTTTACAAAAGAATCATAAAACTAGTAGGCAATAAACTTTACCTCGATCACCAGCATCCTCAGATAGTGCAAGCTGTATAACTCCCTTAAGGTCATAAGTTGGGTGTGAGGGAGGGTTCAGCACCAGGGACCCAACCTGATTTTCCCCACATTTCATGGCCGATGATAACATTTTCACAATCAACCTACAGAGTCAAAGTCTCTATCCATCAATCGCCACATAAAGGCTAAACATAAATGATGCGGATTGGGGAGCAAATTGAATAGGGAATTTAAAACCTTGTGGTGGTGGAGGATTTGAAAGCTGGAAAAGGGGAGAAAGAGAGTGTGTGTGCCAAAGGTAGCATGATACGCCAACTCCGTCAGTAACCTATTTCAAAGCGAGTTAAAAATGGAACAGCAAAATCAAGAAACGACATCAAGAACAACATCAATGATAACTACAACAGATAAGAATCGGTAATTTGTCCAAAATCAAATTGGAATGAAAAACAGCAAATACGAATTTGCTGCAAATGCTTGAGGCTCTGTTTTGGGGTTTGGGACTGTTCAGCGCTGCTTGTACAGTGCATGGCGAGAGATCCATTATTTTATCAACAAATTCACGAGCCCTAGCCTACTCCCTAGGCCTGCAAATCAACTTACTAGAAAATACGAGGATGAGGAAGGCAAAACCAGCGGAGAAGAAGGCCACCACATCGCGACGATAGGATTTTAATTCGGAATGAAGTTTTGGGAAGCCAAAAGATAAAGAAGACGAAGGCGAAGGAGGAGGAGACAGCGGAGCCAGAGTAAAGGAAGGCGAGGGCATAGAAGGCGGAGACGACATGGGAGAAAGACGAAGGAGAAGAAAGCAGAGAGCTGACCTGGAAGACGACGACGAGGGGAAGGCGCCTGGAAGACGATGGAGCCGGCGGCTTTTAGGTTTTATTTGCTTTTCATTACTTAATTTATAATTTTAATTGTAACTAAACAGCCACAATTTATATTACTTCCTCCGTAAGAAGGTTGTCATTAATTTTTTGTAGTTGATTTTTTAATATTAATTTTAATATTAATACATAGTACAAATTAAGAAAAGAAAATAAAAGTATATTTATTAGTCTTTTATAATACATATACAATAATATTTGTAAGGTAAATTAATATTTTTAATGTTAAGTACAATTACAAAAACATTCAAAATTATTAAATTAAAATATATTTAACAAATATAAATTAATTTAATTAACTATATAATATATAATATTTAAACATTATATTCCTTTTGTCCCAGATACTGTGTCTTGCTATACTGTAGACACGGTATTTCAGAATGAGTGTAATTAGTAGATAATTAAGAATGTATTAGTGAAAATAATTATCCTATAATATAAATAATTATAAATTAAGATTAAGATAACTAATTAGTTTAATTAAAATTAAAAAAAATAAAATAAAAAAATTTAAAATGAGATTAAAGTGTGTAATCATTTTAAAAAAAGAAAAATGACATGGTATGTGGAACGGACAGAAACGACAACGTGGAGATGGTATCGGGAACGGAGAGAGTATTAATTAATCATATCTTAGATGAGTAGGATTAGATGAGAGGGAGGGAGTATAATAAATTAAAGTTCGATATTGATTAAAATTTGTTATACTAATATGCTAACTAAAAATAATTAATCATAATTAGATTGGTAGGATTAATTTATCCAAATAATATTTAAACATCATATAAATTAATCACATATTAATTGATGAATTCGTTTTTTAAGTTAGGTATGAAAAATTGTGTCGTTAATAAAAAAAAAAAAAAAAAATTTGGTTGAAAAGTTGATTTTTTTGAACGAATAAAGTGTATATATTATATACTGTGTTAATATATATAGGGTGTGTTCGTTTGTAGAATTTCAACCAAATTCTACTATTCATCCAATTTTTTCCCCCCAAAAACATCAAATCAAATACCTATTTTTTATTTTTTATATTATACTAAAAATTAATTTTACATTCAAAACATCACATCAACGCCTATTTATATCACATCATACAACTATTCAAATTCAAAATTTTTACTATTCAAATCCCAACTCAAAATCCAAACCCCCAAACAAACACACCCGTATATGATATGTGCACTTCGTATTTTTGAATAATGTATTTTCATGTTAGATATGAAAATTTTTATAAATAATACAAAAATAATATATTTTTTTTATTGAATTATTAACTTTCTGTGAGTAAATAAAATATATAATATATATTGTGTTAATATATATTTTATTTTTTGTAATACTTATGAAAAATCATGCTACCAATTAGATGAACAACTCGTTACACTTTTTAAAAAATAATATATAGGGAATTATGTAGCTTAAAAACACCATATGAGCAAACTATTTGTTTAATATACAATATATATTGTTAATAATTTTTTAAAATATAAATTACTTTAAAATAAATACAGTATATATAAGTATATAATTTTATTAATAAGAATTGTTATACACAAAAAATAATAATAATAAGAAAAATAAGGATAGCATGATCTTAAAGGAAATTAGACACGAAGTCGGGTGGAAAAGAAGAAAAATTGGTCCTCGGTCGGTTGGTCTGCAGTCGGATAAGCAGGTCGGTTGGTCCTCGGTCGGATAGGCAGGTCGGTTGATCCTCGGTCGGATAGGCAGGTCGGAAGGTTTGCGGTCGAATAGGCAGGTTGGTTGGTTAGCGGGTCGGATGGTCCATAGGTCGGAAAGTCTGCAGGTCGGATGGTCTACAGGTCGGAAGGTCTGCGGTCGGATAGGCAGGTCGGTTGGTTAGCGGGTCGGATGGTCCATAGGTCGGAAAGTCTGCAGGTCGGATGGTCTACAGGTCGGGAGGTTTGCGACTGGACCAACAAGTCGGAAGATCTGCGGTCGGACCAACAAGTCGCTTGGTTTGGGCGACCATTGAATCGTCTGGAGAGATCAAATGTTGGTCGCTTGATGGGGCGACCAATAAAGTCGTTTGGTCTAGCGACCAGTTAGTCTCTGGAATGGTCGGTCGGGCCAGTTGAGTTCTGGAATTGGTAGAAGTATTTGGCGAGACGGTGTAAGACACGTGTCGACAGAGGGAGACCTTGTGGACAGTTGCCGTAACCGCCCAGACGACGTTTCAAAATGTTTCATTGTGGGCGGTTGACGGCAGTTGCTAGCGACGGTTCTGAAACGTTTTTTTGAAAGAATATTTAAGGATGCGGAGTTTTTATCTTCAATCATCTTCAATCGACATCAAATTCAAGATAATTGCTTTTGGGGATCACCACTTTATTTTCCAGTCTGTAGTTTTATTTTCCAGTTTATTTTATGTACCGTACAATTTTTAGAGATTCCTAATCTCAGACGCTAAATATATCAAATTCGAAGATAATTTCCTATTTTCGAATTTTACTTTTTATTGTTGAAGAAATACATCAACAATTTGGCAACCACAGTGGGAGAAAGGCAAGATTGCTGATCCTACATCAACAGAGAATTTCATACGACTAAGGTCCGACCGAATTATCAGAAAGATCGATATGGCAGACTCGCAACCTTAATCATCATCAGCACCGGTGGGAGAAAATATTTCACCGCCTATCATGCCAAATCCAGGGGATATTCCCCAACCTCCTACCGATTGGTTGTCTTATGTTCAACAATTGAACAATCAGCAAACTTTGGTCATGCAGAACATGTTGCATGAACAGCAAAATCTAATGCAGAACATGTTGGATCAAGCGTTCTCCAGATTCACCCTACATTCAAACATGCCTCCAGCCTTGTCACCTTCTCGCTTTCAGACAACTTTTCCAGGATCAACGTTTGCAGGGCCAACATACGTTGACAGTACATTTCCAAACGTCACAACTTTCAACCGAACAGATATAGGGAAGACTCCTCTAACTTTCCCAGATAATGTTCATTTGGGACCGATGGTTGATAATACTCAACCGAGTGAGAGGTTGGGGGGACAGACTCATAATCCCATCCCACCCGAGCCAACTGTCCCCAGAGAAGAAAGATTGAGAGATCAGATTCATAATCCCATCCCAGACGAGCCAACCTTCTCTAGGAAAGATTTTGTTCCACCCAGGGTAGATCCGGAGGATATCGCTCAAGTTTTGCGGGTGCATTTCGGAATGAACCCGCAAACGGTGAACCGACCGGCGTATCAAAGGCCATTTCCAGAGAGAATCATCAATGAGTATCCTCTCCCGAAGAATTATCGACCATCAGACTTTCATGTTTTCTTAGGAGAAGACGGATCCTCCACCATAAAGCATGTGGGTCGTTTCACAGCACATTTAGGAGAGGTTAATAACCCTTTTTATAAAGTGCAACTATTTGGTTTGTCTCTTACCAGAACAGCTTTTTCATGGTTTGTAAATCTGCCACCTGGGCAAATACAAACCTGGGAAGGTTTAGAGATGGCGGTCCATGCTAGATTCTTCAACCCTTTACCAGCCGTCTCTCTTTCCGATTTGTTGGAACTGAAACAATTTCCAGAAGAGACAACCTCACAGTTCATCGAAAGGACACGTCTAATGAAGGGGCGTTGCCCGACAGTCATTGAGGAGAGTGAAATGACTAACCTGGTGGTCAGGAATATGCATACACGACTGCGGGAGGCTTTAACGGCCCACGACGTTCGAGATTTGGCCAGTTTAGCGTCAAAGGCAGGGAGGTTAGAATCATTTTTTAGGGAAAACGATCACGACTTCTGTCAGGGAGGAGGTGTTGAAGAAATGGTAGTGCAAGATCGACCAATGTACAAGCCAGCACCAGTCCGCGATAAATGGAGGTCGGGTCCAACGTAGCCTCGAAAGTTGAAGGTCGGATATGAGGCTGACGTGGCCTCGGATGACGGCCTGCTAACTCCTAAACATTATAAGAAATGGCGCTTAGAAGTCTTGAGGAGGAGGCAAGTTGTTATACACAAAAATAATAATAATAATAAAAATAAGGATAGCAGGATCTTAAAGGAAGTTAGACACGAAGTCGGGTGGAAAAGAAGAAAAATTGGTCCTCGGTCGGTTGGTCCGGTCGATTGGTCCGCAGTCGGATAAGCAGGTCGGTTGGTCCTCGGTCGGATAGGCAGGTCGGTTGGTCCTCGGTCGGATAGGCAGGTTGGAAGGTCTGCGGTCGGATAGGCAGGTCGGTTGATTAGCGGGTCGGATGGTCCATAAGTCGGAAAGTCTGCAGGTTGGATGGACTACAGGTCGGAAGGTCTACGGTCGGATAGGCAGGTCGGTTGGTTAGCGGGTCGGATGGTCTATAGGTCGGAAAGTCTGCAGGTCGGGAGGTTTGCGGTTGGACCAACAAGTCGGAAGATCTGCGGTTGGACCAACAAGTCGCTTGGTTGAGGCGACCATTGAATCGTCTGGAGAGATCAAATGTTGGTCGCTTGATAGGGCGACCAATAAAGTCGTTTGGTCTAGCGACCAGTTAGTCTTTGGAATGGTCGGTCGGGCCAGTTGAGTTCTAGAATTGGTATAAGCGTTTAGTGAGACGGTGTAAGACACGTGTCGACAGAGGGAGACCTTGTGGACGGTTGCCGTAACCGCCCAGACGACGTTTCAAAACGTTTCATTGTGAGCGGTTGACGGCGGTTGCTAGCGACGGTTCTGAAACGTTTTTTTGAAGGAATATTTAAGGATGCAGAGTTTTTATCTTCAATCATCTTCAATCGACATCAAATTCAAGAGAATTGCTTTTGGGGATCACCACTTTATTTTCCAGTCTGTAGTTTTATTTTCCAGTTTATTTTCTGTACCGTACAGTGTTTAGAGATTCCTAATCTCAGACGCTAAATATATCAAATTCGAAGATAATTTTCTATTTTC